GGAGAGCCACTTAAGACATGGAACAGAAGTTAAATGCATTTGGAAACACACTGTCTTCATTGTCTGTATTTACCACTGTTTAAGGTATTGTGTGAGTGTATATGTGTGACGGTTGGGAGGGTAGTGGTCGGTATTTAGTCTGGGAATTTAGACTAGCACAGCTGCCATGGACTGTGCAGGTTAGCATTTGTTGTCCCCCACACAGACCCACATAAATCCATCACCTTACTAAGACTTACTGAGAGAAGTTTAGGGTGATGCTAGTTGCAAACAGGAAAAGTTTAGGGATTGATGCTAGTCACAAATAAGGAAAGTTTAGGGTGAAGATAGTTGCAAACAGTGAAAGTTTAGGCACTGATGCTAGTGACAAACAGGAAACGTTTAGGATGATGCTAGTTGCAAACAGGAAAAGTTTAGGGACTGATGCTAGTCACAAATAGGGAAAGTTTAGAGACTGATGTCATTTCCAATCAGGGAAAATTTAGGGACTGATGCCAGTCTCAAAATGGGGAAGGTTTAGGGATGGGAAGTTTGAGGAATGGTTTTTATTATACTTCTTCTTCTTGGTTTACCTGTTGATACATATTCAGATCGAAATGTTGCACCAGCTGTACCTGTGAGATTTGTTCTTTTTCCCTCGATATCAGGTTCACAGTCATAGTTTATGTTGGGTGAACTTGTCATCAGCTATCTTAGCTACCTGTATTTACCACTACTGCTACATAGATAGCGGGAATCTCTGAGCCTCACAATTAAGGGCCTTGTTAGCACAGTTGCCATTGATTGGGCAGGTTCTTTTGACCTCAGAAGAAATCTGTATGAAGCTGATCAATATGGTATCGAAGAGATGTTGACAGAGTGTATGAAAATGTTAAGATGTGGGCATTTCTTCGGTGAGGGAACTAGGAGTAGTCAGTGCATTTGGGAGGAAGGAGGGGGGCAGGGGGGTGATGACAGAAACTTAACTGAGAGAGAGCTTAAAGTTTATTTTATTCTGGGTGGACAAGGATGCCAAGGTCAATTTAAAACTGTCAGGTGATGAATTTTAGCACCTGTGTGATAGGCGCGGGGAGGGGGGGGGGGGAATCTTTTTCCCCCCTCCCAAAAAGTGATCCTTGTATGCGCACGGGAAAACAAACCACTAGTCAGACTTATATTTTCAAAGATTTGCTTTGTGTGTGTGTATATATATATATATATATATATATATATATATATATATATATATATATATTTAGAATTCTAGCACTTTAACATACTCTGACAAAAATCAACATTATGATATACCACAGTTGCATATTTAAACAAGAAATTTTAATAAAATAACACTACATGGATAAGTCAAAAAGAGAAGCAAATAAAATCAAGCCAACCAAGATGAGGGGAGGCTCTTCAAATAGAAGAAGTATGACACGGTGTGGAGAAAGCCGTAAGGAGTCCGGATCGTTGACGTACCTCCTCTCAGCTAGTAAAACCTCCAGAATTGGCACCTGGAATGTTAGAACTCTCTATGATATAGGGAGAAATAAAGGAAGGCCAAAAAACACATGGAGAAGAGAGCTGGAGAATGAGGTTAGAAAGATTGGTAGGACATGGGGAGAGCTCCATGCACTGGCGAAGGATAGAACGACTTGGCGTGAGTTGGTTGAGGGCCTAGGCTCCATTGGTGGATAGAAAGGCAGAAAAAGAGAAGAAGAAGAAGATAGAGGATTATCTGTGTCTGCCATGTCTTAAAGTAGCCTCAGTGATAGCAGTCACTGGGTGATGACCACCAACTGCTTTTTAAAAGCCAAGTCGTGTCAAATTTTCCCTTAAGCCTCAGTGATAGATCATAGGGTCACAGCATGAGTCACCAAATACATATTGGTTTTTTTAAGGTCTCAGTGAATGTATTACATGATTAATATGTTCATTTTTATTGAATACCCCTTTATATATCTTCAATATTTCTAAAACAATATTAAAATGAAGATGAATAAATTTTTCTAACATTTTTAGTAGGGCTGTACCGAATATTCGCTTCGTATTCGCTTCGGGGCCGAATAGTGGACCTAATAACTATTCGGTATTCGGCCGAATAGTTGTGGTCGAGCCGAATACGAATAGTGGTTACCTTACACCCGTTTCTGGACTGGTAGAAAATAAACATATCAAGATTTCCCACCTTGGTTCATACTGTCAAACGTTATCTTTGTGCATCACCTACTAGCGCACTAAGATAACGTTTGTTTAGCTACAGCTGGAAATACCTTCAGTGAGACAAGAAACTGCCTTAATGCTGACAACATGGAACAAAGTTTTGTTTTTTTTAAAGCTAATGCCGCTTTCATGGATTAACTAAGCTGTAAGTGACAATTTACAGGTTTAGTTACTTAATATAAAAACTAAGAATACTTTCATTCCTAGGTATTAGTTACCACAGACTGACTCACTGAAGGATGCAAAACATGAAATGTTTTTAAATGTTTACTATTCTGTACTACATTTTGTGAAGTAAACTTTCAGCGTAGATTTGACATTGTGGATGTTTTTTTTTTTCTTTTAGATCTATTTTATACACTATTCAAAAGTCGAAGAATGGGCATCAGTTTGAATAGTGGGAAGACAGAAGTAATGGTGGTATCAAAGAAAAGAATTATACCTAAATGTGTAAAAAAAGTCAAATGTTTTATTTTGGGACAAGTACAGAAATTTAAGTATCTAGGCACATGGATAACATCAAATGGAAGATGCATTACTGAAATAAGAAACAGAATAGGACAGGCAAAAACTGCGTTTAAAAAATGAAGAACATCTTATGCAATATATCTTTGTCATTGAAGGTTAGAAAAAGAATTCTTGCTAGCTACATACATCAAGTTTTACGTTTTAACATATGGACGTGAGTCCTGGATAAATAGTCATACTTTTACTTAGGTTAGGGTGCCGCGGAAAAATTTTAATTGAAAAAAGGTGCCGCGACCAAGAAAAGTTTGGCGTAAAAAATCCCTTGTCAGCTGGAAATTGAAAAGAGAAGCCAAATGGTGCTGCCCGGGCAAAATTTGGAGTTAAACATCTACCCCAAGTATTTCAGGATCCTAGCCGGTGCTACAGAGCCTGTGCACTGTGCTGAGCTTCTCTGGACTCAGACTTGAGTTAGAAGAAGAACAATTCTGACTTATTTCAGTACATTCTGACAAGGGCTTGGCCCAACCTTGTGAAAAGAGTAATAGAATATTTCCAGGAGATAAAGTGACTGGAAACATTACTAACCAAGTGCTATTTTGGTTAGGAAACAATGGCCTTAAAACCTTATATTGAATTTGTCATAAAGGTTCAGAAAATATCTTTATCAGTATAGGAACAGTAATCCCCTGATAGTTAGCATCCTTTGAATATTTTCTTCAAAGTATTCAGGAGTGTTGGAAATTTAACATGACGATAGACTGGTTGGTTTTGTACCACTTGATAAATACTGATGCATAACAAACTAGATGTGATCAGGGCCCTCTGAGAGTCAGTGAAAAGGGCAGAAGCATTTATCATCACAGTCTGAAGAGAATGGGAAAGTATGAGTGACCAGGGAATCAGGTCAAAAAAACATGGTAAAAAATTTCTGGCCAAAATCTCAGCGGAAAGGTAAGAAGGACATACAATTACAGACTGCTATTAGTACCATCGGAACTGAAAAGATTTATTTCCTCAGTCATTTTTCTCTTCACCGCCTTTGCTACAACGTATCCTAACAAGATGCATTTTTTCAGCAAGTATTTTTTTTTCTTTATTACAATCGAATACATTTTTTCTTCTTCTTCACAGTCAACAGTTTTAAAAAATGGCAGTACGTTTTGATTATTCATTCACCTCTGGACTAGTCTTGAGTGATGCGTGCACATCCATTTTACAGACCTGTCAGTGGTTCCTTGCCTCTCCGGCAGATGCATTCCAAATTCGAAAGATCCCTCCTCCCCCCTCCCCCCCAATTAGTCAACTACTATAACATGCTTGTTGGTGAGGCAATAGGTTTATTCTTGTGTTCCCTACATTGGGACACGGGAACATATCCGGGGAACTCCAATAACCAATCTAGAAAGATATCTTCTTAGTAACAGGCATTTTTCTCTTTCCTACTTTGTCTACCTGTTCCATGTACCTGTTTAAATCCCATACTTTTCTTCTAGCAAGAAGATGTAGCTTACTGTTATAAAGTCTGCTGCATAGCCTTTACAGCAGGCATGGTAAACAGGGTCCCCTAAGGAAAATATGTGTCACATTTGTGACAACATAAGGGCCACTCTCGAAAACTAATTAGGTCATTTAATAAAAAATTACTGCATATTTCCTTTGTGGTGGTTGTAGGTGTATTTGCAAAGGGATGCATGCACCCCATGGGTCACCAGTTTGACATGTCTGCTTTATATTTATAGCACATTGCAAACCAACCCCAGCATGTGTTTGTTTTCAGGGGCAATTTTACGTTCAAGAGTCTGCCAATGACTCAGATGGTCGGTGCTCCACTGCAGGATTAAATCAACACAAAGAAATCTGCTACAAATCTGAACACAGCTGAATCCAACAGAATGTTTCAGAGTTATGATTCACGCTCATAAGCCACACTAAATAAGGAGAAACTGTCTTCTAGGCATCCTTCTTTCTTTCGGATGCACAACAAAAGGTGCTTTATTAAAATCCTACCCCAGATGATGTCACAGGACAGTTCAACATTTAGAAGGTGGTAAGTTTGGGTTTCCTGCTTTCTGATGCTTTTAACAACCCCAAAACATCAAGAATTGGCCCTAACCACAACCCACCTACGTTTCACAAGAGAGTGCAGCCTAGGTCCCATGACTGCATGCAGCCTAGATCCCACGACTGCATGCAGCCTATCTACCACCCCCTGAAATATTAGACTATCCCCTGACCTGTGGATTTCCCCTGTTTGGGGTAGGATATTATTAAAGCACCCAACAAAATCGGTAAAATGGCAGGAAAACAGCGGAGAAAAAAATATTCAAACTTACTGTATCCCATAATTTCTCCACTTGGTGATTCCAGCACCTGAAAGTATTCAGGCCAGTGAGCCAAGTACTGCATATAAAATGGCAGGCCATACTGAATGACAGTAAAGGAAAATATTCTTTGACATACCAGTAGTGATCAATTTCAGTCATAAAACTTTCCTTTCATTACTGGGTTTATGGGGAGCCACAGTGGCCCAGAGACTAGATGCTGCTTGCCAGCTTAAAGGTCTCAAGTTCGTATTTGCATCCAGGCAGATATTTTTGGACCAAAACTGACTATAGCTCCTAGGTCAAACCAGTCTAAAATGGATAGAAGGTAATGTCTTGGGAAGTAAAGGCAACCATACCACCTACCAAGTGACGAATGGTCTATAAAAAATAGGGGTTTAGCATCATAAGACCGAATGCTGTTTGTTTACACAGGGAGATTCACAGGCGAGCAGATTACAGGACAGGGAAAGAAACTGTCTTAGGCTGGCAATGTGTTAATGACTCAGTGAGTATGCTTGGGAAGTAGAGATGGGGTAAGTCCAAAGACTGGCTGGAGACTCTCAGGCAGTCGGGTCTGACACATATCAGTTTCATATTTGTGCCAGGGCATGTAGGTGTGCCAGGAAATGAGCAAGCTGATAGGCTTGCAGGTGAAGCAACTTAGGACTTAGTAAAGGACTTTTCATGCCAGTAATGCTAGACTCGTATTTTCACAGATCAATCGGTCAGTACTCAGTGGGTGATGTGGTTAACATCAGGCCGGCAGCCTTAATCTCCCAGGATATTAACTGGTACTCCTCTTTTACAGTATGAGAAATTAAAAAGACTTCAAAGTCACCCACTGCATTTTAAATTTCAAGAGAGAACAAAAAACCGACTGAAGCGTCAGAGCCCCAACCACCTTGCTAGAGAACTGTACAGACAGCACCAAGATCTGCTTGAAAGAGATGTTGCACTGTGCGAAAAACTTAGGCCAGAACCATGGACAAGCAAGCCAGAAAAGCAAATGTAGTTCTAAAGGTACCAGGAATCACTTCAAAAGATGCCCAGACGGAGACACAACAGAGAACCTTGGCTCTTGCTATGCTTGATGAGAAGTATCCAAACACCACTTGGACTTGGTTTTCACCGACGGCTCTGCTACAGATGCAGTCAGAAAGGGGGGTTGTGGAATTTACATTAAACCCCCTAGCAGTAGAGCAGAAACTCTCTACCAGCAGGTGACATCTGCCCTAACTTCAGAGCTGAGGCAACTGCCCTCCTTTTTGCAGTCCAACAACTCAACACTCAAGACCACAGAGGGCACCAAATTGTTATACTTAGCGACTCACTGTCTGTTCTCCAAGCATTATCCAGCAAAAAACAAGACAAACTAATTGCAGATCTAAGGACCAACATTGGCTTACACTCCAAGGAAGCAGAACTAATCTTGCAGTGGATACCAGCCCACTGTGGTATTCAAGGAAATGAGAGAGCAGATGTGTTGGCAACAGCTGGGAGTAATCTTCCACAACCTCATCCAACACACACCTACAAGGAAACCAAAACAGCGCTAAAGAAGTCTTTCAAGTGGGAGTGGAGAAGACGGAATGGAGATTACAGACCAGAGAGTGACAGCACAAACAAACTCAACAGGAAGGAACAAACATCAATTTTTAGACTTCGGACTGGACACTGTGGTCTTCGAGCACACTTGTACAGGATAGGCATAAAAGAATCTGCTGCCTGCAATTGTGGAACAGAAAGACAGACCCCTGCGCACATACTACAGTACTGCCCTAACCTCTCCCAGCAAAGACTGTGGATCTGGCCCAAGGGAGCCAGCCACATTGCAAGAGAAGCTATGGGGGACCGGTGGCGACCTTAAACGCAGTCATGTTTAGCATGACTGATGTCGAGCGCAGAAGAAGAAGAAGAACTGGTACTCATTTTAGGCTAGGTTAACCAGGAAACCAAGGCCAGTTTTGATTTGAACTGAAGACCTTCAGACAGCATAGGTGAGTGTCTACCACTATACTACCAATGCTTCCATAAATGATGGTAATCTTTTAACTCTGTCAGTACTCTAGACAAAACTGTCAAGGCTCAGTCTCAGTCTCAGCAGATGTCATTAGATATGATTACACTTGTAGTAATCTGACACAGGCATAACTTAATAAGCCAGTCAACCGCATACCTCCAGTAACTTGTTTCCTTAGCTTTTCATTATCTGTTTAAAAAAAGGATACTGTTTCTGTAAGAGGGTCCAGATTTCTGGAAAAAAAAATAATCGTAAATTATTTAGTTTTGATCAAATTATTTTAACATGATACCTGTTGTGGTATTTAAATTATAAAGTTGTATTTATTAAATCAATCACACCACAATATTTAAGAGGGTTTTGGATCATATTATTTATTCTTCTCATTTTTTTTATCTTACTGTCTTTTAAACTACTGAATGTAACATTGCCTATTGAAATCACAAACAGATGCTGGAGTTGGTTCTGCAACATACTGTAAAAGATATGCAACTAACTCAACTTAAGTCTTCAACATTCAATGGAGCATAAGCTCTCAATCAGTTCAAAGTAAACCCTGTGAAGGCATCTTCATAACTGGCTGGATTTTGTGGGTGAACATCTTTATAAGATGAGATGGTTCCAACCTGTCTTTGTTGCCTCTTACATCATACATGGTATGTCATGTTAACACAATCGATGACTTTGCACATTAGGCATCCCCATGCGTCTTCAGTCCTTTGATGCAGCAGCCACTCTAAGGTACCTCTACTGATTGTTCCCATAAGGAGTTAAGCTATAATATCTCCTGTCTCTACCTCAAAGATGACAAAGACGTGCTTCACCAAGCTTGATGCCTCAGTAAAGCAGTCATGTGCTTAACGCCTCAGTAAAGCAGTCATGTTAGCCTCTGAGATTCGCCATAATCCTCCAACCTAGTCCATACAGCATTCATGATATCAGCTCTGTCCATGCGTCTTCTGGTTTGCATTGGTGCGTTACTTGCCAGATGGCCAGCTCTTTCATTACCATTTATTCCTGTGTGCCCGGGTGTGTAGATTCAAATGGAGGTTAACTGCGACTTCTGAATGCTTTCTATCCATTCAGAGAGTAGACAACCTGCAGTGATTTTCTGAAGTATGTTCATAGAGTCTGAAACAATTATTACATGTGGTCACTTGTTCTGCTACCCTCGCAAGTGCTCTGGAAACAGAAGTTATCTCTATCTATGGTCATGCTTGACCATCATAGATGGTAGGTTAGTTGGTTTGCACCTTCCCAGATGACAGTGTTATCGTGTCCTATTTGGAGGCATGGGAATCACAACCCACGAAGGTGGAGAGTGTGACCAGCAAGATCCGCTTTGATTAAGAAAGTAAGGAAGGCATTTTCCCTTTTCCACAGCACAAAGCCTGGGCAGACATTAGGAAAGTAAGGAATGCATTTCCCCTTTTCCACAGCACAAAGCCTGGGCAGTATTACAGCGTTAAGAAAGTAGGTAAGGTATTTCCCATTCTCCACAGCACAAAGCCTGGGCAGTACTGTAGCATTAGGAAAGTAATGAAGGCATTTTCCCTTTTCCACAGCACAAAGCCTGGGCAGTATTACAGCACTAAGAAAGTAGGGAAGGCATTTCCCATTCTCCACAGCACAAAGCCTGGGCAGTACTGTAGCATTAGGAAAGTAAGGAAGGTATTTCCCCTTTTCCACAGCACAAAGCCTGGGCAGTACTGTAGCATTAGGAAAGTAATGAGGGTATTTCCACTTTTCCACAGCACAAAGCCCGGGCAGTACTGTAGCATTAGGAAAGTAAGGAAGACATTTCCATTTTTCCACAGCACAAAGCCTGGGCAGTACTGTAGCATTAGGAAAGTAATAAAGGCATCCCCCCTTTTCAACAGCACAAAGTCTGGGCAGTATTACAGCGTTAAGAAAGTAGGGAAGGCATTTCCCATTCTCCACAGCACAAAGCCTGAGCAGTACTGTAGCATTAAGAAAGTAATGAAGGCATTTCCCCTTTTCCACAGCACAAAGCTTTAAAAGTACTGTAGCATTAAGAAAGTAAGGAAGGCATTTCCCATTCTCCACAGCACAAAGCCTGAGCAGTACTGTAGCGTTAAGAAAGTAATGAAGGCATTTCCCCTTTTCCACAGCACAAAGCTTTAAAAGTACTGTAGCATCAAGAAAGTAAGGAAGGCATTTCCCCTTCTCCACAGCACAAAGTTTGGGCAGTATTGTAGAGACCATGTGTTGCCCATTCACCATGATCTCTCTCTTAGCCTACCCTGTTTACTCCAAAGGGAAGGTAACACCCATACATCTGGAACAAAACACGTTTACAGAAGCTGCTTGATCAGAAGAGCAGCACTCTTTGTCTTCCCCTCCTACGCCAGCTACCAACCAAGGCTACGGGCCCAGTCTGCCCCGATCAGCATGCTTCTGTTGTGCAAAGTATAAATCACGCAGGGCTCGCAGTATATTCCTACTTTCCAGCTACTCTGTGCAATCAATTTAAGGTCATTAACAGAATGTCAACCAGCATCTGTAACCTCTCTAATCAATATTCATCTTAAGGTTTCATCTGGACCTCCCTGTTTTCCCATTTATTTATAATTTCAGTGCCTGCTTGATGATTCTATGTTCCATTCTCTTCAGGATATTCCCAGTTTATCACTATCTTCTTTCCCCGGGACCCCACTGTGGGGGGAAAACAAGAATAGATTCACTGCCCACCCAAAAGCATCTTGTAGGTGTTGACTAATTAGAGGCTTCCTTTGAAGTTGGAGTACATCTGCCTGAGTGGCAAGGAACCAACAGTCTGCATAAAAATGTCACATCTGTAAAACTGATGTGCATGCAACCCTCAGGTTCCGAACAAGACTAAAAACCAGAGATTGACAAACAAACAGAACTTTCTGCTGGAGTTACTAGCGGTTGTCAAGATTACATCGCTGAATTCTTAACTTTTATTTAATTCATTCCACTGTTTGAGTCCTAGAAAACTTCAGACAAAATTCATGTCTTAATTAAAAACAAAACAAGCAAATGAATTACATCCCTGTGTTAAAGGAACAGAATGAGAATGAAAGCTGTTATCTGGGTAACCACATTTTAGTTTGCACACACTGCCAACTATGAATTTCTTTTAACAACAGTGAAAAGATAGAACACACTGCTATAGTATGACTATAAAATAAACTCCACTGACCTCTACAGTAGAGAACTCTGCAGAGAGAAAGGCAGACCAAGAAAAACCTGGAAACATCAATTAGCTGATTGGACAGGTCTAAAATAGGCAAACATCAAGTCTACTACATCCCCGTCCCGGGTCTCAATTGAAGGGAAAATAAGAGTCACTCACTACCTCCCCAAAAAGCATGTCGTAAGAGTCGACTGAATGGGAACTGCCTTTAGAATCGGAGTGCATCTGCCTGAGAGGCAAGTAACCAAAAATATGCTTACAAATAAGCAAGATCTGAAAAACTGTGTCCGTCAGAGTTTACAGCCGGTGAATGTGAAGCAGAAGAACAAGAAGTCCACTGCACCTGACAGAGGTGGAGGAAACTAATCAGGAGGCTGTCTTTTTCTTCCTGCAAACTGGCGGAAATATCTGGTTGTTGGTCCACCTCCAAACTTTAGTCTTGTTCTGAAACCTGAGTGCTGCGTGCACACCTATTATAGAGTTACAGATTTGGCTTATTATACAGACTGTTGGTTTTATGCCTCTCAGGTAGTCATAGCATATTGGCTCACTAGGCACTTGCTTAGGGCCCCACAAGCATAGGAGCCTCATGCTAATCTCTGTCATTCCTGTTAGTGGTAGCCCTAGGTGTCCCCAGCAAAAGAGTGTGACAGTGATGTTTCATTTTTGGATAGATCAAAAAGTTAATAAGTCAATAAATCGCACACTGCACTGCATGTTGCTTACTACTAAAAGAGAGCTATCCTCTGAATAATGGTCCTAAATTATCGAGGCGAACAGGGCCTCAGTCATGTGTCAATTGCGCACTTCCAGGGACTATAACGCCACCACCGAATTGCGAACTTCCTGCAACTTCCGCCACCGCCGAGAGTATCCCAACGCCGCTCATGCGGCATGGATTGGGGCTAAACTACATGGCTAGGACTTACAAGCAAATAAAATTAAGGAAGCTGCAGGAGATGCGGTAGCTGCTGCTCGTGTCCCAGCCACCTAGTCTAGCCCCAATCCACGCCGCAGGGATACTCTCAGCGGTGGCGGAAGTCGCCGGAAGTGCGCAATTTAAAACGACGGAAGTGCGCAATTGACACATGACTGAGGCCCTGTTAGGGTATATTTTCCGCCTCAATAATTTAGGACCATTATTCTGAGGAGGCTCTCCTCCGTACTTCCACCCCCGCATTATGGAGGCCTGAAATATCCGTTCGGGGCTCAGCCCAATGAAAAATGCAAACTTTCTGCCAAGGAACAAATCGTGGCAAAACTAGGATTACTTGACAATTTCAAGAGATGCAACATTGCAAACGAGAGTAGCAGACAATAAAAGCGACCGGTGACAATGTCGAGCGTTTCTGCAGACGATACTAGCAGATGATAAAAGTGACCGTTGACAATTTCGAGACATTACAGATATGTCGGGTACACCACGCGCTTCCACGCAGATTAGCAATACTGTTCTTCCGATTAAGGATTTAGCAGCGGTAGATGTCAGACTTGTCGGCATGCGTAAAACGCGATTAAACTCACTGCCGAGCGTATCCCCCGTGCCTCTAAGCGCGGCGCGGATGGGGGGCTAAACTAGGTGCCTGGGACTCACGAGCAAAGTAACTGGAGGAAGTTGCAGCAGATGCGGTAGCTCCTGCTCGTGAGACCCAGCCATCTAGTTTAGACCCTATCCGCGCCGCACGTAGCGGCGTGGGGGATACGGTCGGTGGTGAGGCATAGTCATAGAAACAGGTCCGCAAGTAACATATCGCTGAGACCCTGTTAGAGCATGTGTTTCGTTTTTCTGAGCCGATCCTAGATTGGCAGCGATTTGTTTGTCGGCAGAAAGCCCGACAAGTCCCCATTTTACATATTTGTTCCTCGGCAGAAAGTCCGACAATGGAAAGTGTCAACGGTTGCTATTATCGTCTGCAGTGTTGCGTCTCTTAGAATTGTGAGGTAATCAGAAACAATAAGAAACAGGTCCGCAAGTAACATATCGCTGAGACCCTGTTAGAGCATTTGTTTCATTATACGGAGCCGGCATATTTTTAACAGAACTGAGCCCCGAACGGATATTTCAGGCCGCCATAATGCGGGGGTAGAAGTTCGGAGGAGAGCCTCTGAGATAGCCCTAAAAGTAAAAGAGTTATTCAATTGCTAAATTTCGTCTCGGCGTTCTCGTTCGTTTTCATTCTCTTTACCTTCCTGCCTTATGAAAGCTGAATCCTACTATACTATTTATTACTTTTAATACTAATAGTATTAGTAATAGTTTAGTACTACTATACTCTATACCATACCATACCGAATGCATTTTTTTAAAATTATTTAAATTAATTATAATACATTATGTATTAATTTAAAAAAAATGGATTCGGTATGGTATAGTAGTACTAAACTATTACTAATACTATTAGTATTAAAAGTAATAAATAGTATAGTAGGATTCAGATTTCATAAGGCAAGAAGGTAAAGAGATTGAAAACGAACGAGAACGCCGAGACGAAATTTAGCAATTACATTCATTCGTACTTACACATTATTAAATCTAAACAGATCATCACATTTGAATGGTCTGATAGTCGTCATTTGTAAACCTCTGGTGCTGGGTAAATGTTTAAATTTAACAACAATTTATAAAACTAAAACAGTTTAACGAGTTAATTCTGTAGCGTATAAAATAGTACTAGTACTGTTTTTGTACACCGAGCACAGCACCATTCAAGAACGATATTTAAGAGTAGTCTCCCTTTCGATTACCATTCCGCATATAAAAATTTACAAACTTTATATTCAAATACTGAAATAAATTGTTATGTTATATATTTTTAAAAAATGAACATTTAGGTGTACAGTGAGCAAATAAAAATCCTGTAACCTTGAAATTGAAACAATGTTTTTTATGTGAAAATTATTACTGCATCCGCAGTTAATATTATCGGTTTTTCCGTGTTTCACACATGACAGGTTTACACACGCCCACACATTGATACTAACACTCTCACACAAACACCAAACTGGTCTCCCGAAAGCAAAATTACCTTAATCGTTTGCTACACGATTTATAGTCATGATACGTCTTAACTATATTTAGTGTCCTTTAGGAGACATAATAATAATAACATAGGTTTGCACATTTTACAAAATCCCTTGGCAGTTGAAAATCTTTTTTTTTTTCTTCTTCTTCTTCTTCGCGTTGTAACATACTTAATTCCTTACGTCCTTCTTAGGACGTAATTTTTTGTTATTTAAAGCCCCACTCTGGCTTTTGCCAGGGGCGCAATATAGGCAGGTCATCATTATGGCCAAATGTCTGAACGCGGTTTCTGGGACCTCTCCACGGTGATCCTCATCCGCATGGTGGCACTTTGTGTCCTCAGGTGTTTATCGCTTGTGTGATGTCCTGGTGGGGTAAAAAGCCAATCCAATCCAATCTTCTTCTTCTTCGCGTTGTAACATACTTAATTACTTACGTCCTTCTTAGGTTGTAATTTTTTGTTATTTGAAGCCCCACTCTGGCTTTTACCAGGGACCGCAATATAGGCAGGCCATCAATATGGCCAATTGTCTGAACGCGGTTTCTGGGACCTCTCCACGGTGATCCTCATCCGCATGGTAGCACTTTGTGTCATCGGGTGTTTATCGCTTGTGTGCTGTCCTGGTGGGGTAGAAAGTCCGTCCGTCCGTCCGTCTTCTTCGCGTTCACCAGCTGTAAACTCTAGCGGAAAGTTCTGGTTGTTCATCCACTTCTGGATTGCAGTCCTGTTCCAGAACCTGAGTGTTGCGTCTGCATCCGTTTTACAGATCTGACTCATTTGTATGCAGACTGCTGGTTCCTTGCCTCTCAGATGCACTACGACTGTGCATGAAGCTCACAATTAATCGACTCTTACGACATGCTTGTGGGTAGGCATTTGGTTTATTCTTGTTTTCCATATAACAAGACCCCGGAACTCCGGAACCCATACGGAAAGTTGAATATCGAAAAGGGTAGCCTAACGGCGCTACCCGGGCACAATTTGCAGTCAACCAAATCTACGCAAAGTATTTTCAGGATCCTCGCCGGTGCTACTGAGTTCGTGCACTGCGTTTGGATTTTTCAGACTCAGTCTTGAGTTAGAAGTTGAACGGAGCACTTATGGGTTACTACCCTTGTGCAATGATGTTGATCTGTAGTTTAAACCCAAAGCAAATTTCCTCCATATGTAACAGTGTTGTTTTGTCCAACACAGGACTGCGGGTTTTCTAATAATAACTAGAACCCCGTCTGAATATGGGACGACATTTTTTGTTATTTTAAAGACCCCCCCCCCCCCCCCCAATCCTTGCTGTAGTCGGGGGCCCCAATATAACCTAACCTTTGAACGGGGTTTGTAGGACTTGTTCCTGAGGGATTCTTCTCCGAATTGTGGCACTTTCTGTCAACGGGTGTTTATCGTTCGTTGTGCGGTCCTGGTGGAGGTTAGACGTCACTCACTTCCCTAATAATAACTTCTTTAGAAGTTTGACGGGGTTATCTTGGATGTACCTTGTTGGTTTGCTGTCCAGATAAAGATTTTTTTTTTTTTTTGTAATCGCCGAATGGTATGGCAGTGGTGTAGTTAGCCGCCCGGTCAGTCGTCATCTGAGCAGAAGCCTTCCCTCACAGCCTAACGCTGCTTGTTGAATGTTTCCCTTTAACGTTTTCAGAACCAGACAATCATAGCTGATGCGTGAAGCAGTTATCGCAACAAAATAATCATGGATTATTACTATTTTTTTTTTTTTTTTACTAGGACTAAATTCACACCCCTTGTATGCAGAGACGTTGAAAATGTGGGGGAGGGGGAGGGATGCGGGCTACACTGGGTGTTATCAAAAGGGGAGAGGCGGGGAAGAGGAGAAACCGGTACATTTTCCTCTGGGTACCCTCTGACCTCGCAATGCCTCTGAAGGGTGACAGGAAATCTCCGCACTCACTTGGCATTGCATCTCATGGTTGACAGGAAATTTTCCTCAGCGGGTACCACCTAACCTTGCTACGCGACCACCTGTATGTAACAGATACAAAGTCAGAAGCGGCCACGCAAAGAAAATAATTGGGAGGGGGACTTCTGCCACCTTAAAAATTATCTAATGTATCTCAAGAGGGGGGGGGGTGTGTGTGTCTAAGCCTTGTTTAAATGAATAGTAATAATAAGTTGCTGAATGATAAATACATATTTAAAATAATATGACCAGTATGAACACAGATTTAATAATAGAAGTTTTGTCCACGGTTGAGGTGTGGGTGGATGAGACATCATAGATGAAATCTGGGGATGGCGGAAACCTTGTTTACTTGCGTAATAACAATAATAATTTTGCCTGTGTGTTTTCGGACGCCATTTTGGGGGAGGGGGAAAATACTTACTGCCCCCACCCTCAGAAGCATGTCGTGAAAGTAGACTAATTAGAGGATTTTTAATTCGAAATCAGAGTGCATCTTCTTCTTCTTCTTCTTTCGTTCGCCTGAAATAAGTTGTCTATATCAGCAGTTTTGTCTCGTATAAATTTCGCTGTCGTTGTTAGTTCATTCAGTGGTCCATAGTTTACGTTCCACTGTTGTTCTTTCTAGCCAAAAGGTTTGCCTTAATGTGTCAAAATCGGTGCAGTCCTGGAGTACATGCTCTGCTGTCTGGGGCACATTTCCACAGGTGCACATAGCTGATACACCTATCTTGAATTTTGTGTACATGTGGTTACGTAATCGGTTGTGCCCTGTTCTGAGGCGGGGGATAATGACTTGTTCTGGTCTGTCCATAATAAAATAGTCTTGTGCTGGGGCTGGTGGTTTCCTGATCGATTTAATGATTCTGTTCTTTTGGTGGTATGTGACTGGTACATACGGCTGCTCTTTTGTCGCACCTTCCCCTGCCAGTTGATCAGCTTTCTCATTTCCAGGCACTCCACAATGAGACGGTATACACTGCATTTCGACTCTTCGCTGAACGCTGAGTTGTGTCAGCAGTGTTTGCAATTCTGGTAGTTTCCTAGACTGGAGTGCTTCAAGTACTTATTTAGCATCTGTCAGCATTACCATATACTGCGAGCCAAGGTTGGTATTTAGCAGTTTCTCTGTAGCTATCTTGATAGCCTGCGTTTCTGCATCGTAGTTATGGCAGTACTTCCCGGTTGGTACGCTGGACTTATCCCTAGTACCATCTGGGAATTCGATGTACACTCCAGCGCCACTACTTCTAACTGCACTTTCTGCGGACCCATCTGTATAGACTCTGACCCATTGTTCTTGTGGGTATTCTTCATCAATATAACTGAGGGTGGCCATTCTGCGTTGTACACTATCTTGCTCTTTCTTGTCAAATATCCATTTCACATTTGTCTAGATTTGTACCATTAGTTTACATTTTTCTCTCCATGGGGTTTGTTCCGGAATACTTTTAAGTGGGCAACCATTTTCTGGAAGGTCAGGAGTTTGTCTACATATTCTTTTTGCTTGGTGTATAAAGCTGCTTCTTTTTAACCGTCCCAAGGCTAGGTTCTTAAATCTATTTTCCATCGGGTGATCTGGCATACTGAGGAACTTTTCAGCTTGCATTTGCAACTTTGTATCTCTGCGTTCTCTCAGTGCCTGTGTTTTCCCAGCTTTCTCCATTTCTAATATAGGGGGTTGATTTCATCCCTCCTGTGATGACTCTGAGCGCTTGATTTTGCACTTTGTCTAACTCCTTTAATGTGGTACTAGATGCTGAACACCATGCAGTTGACCTATATTCTAAGTGTGGAAGTATACTTTGCTTGTATACTTTATTGAGTATTTTCCCATCGGCTCCCCATGTAGTTCCACTTAGTTTTCTTAGTAGTGCTGTCTTCCTCCTGGCTTTGGTTGCTGCCTTGTTGATATGTTTTCTCCATGTCAACCTGTCATCAAATGTGACTCCTAGGTATGTGGGCTCTTTATCATCTCTCAGGGGTATTCCGTTTATTTTGATGGTGCCGGCTTTTTGATTTGGGGAGTGAGAAGAGAAGAATCAACAATCCGCTTGGAAAAAAAGACACATCTATTAAATAGGTGAGCGCATAAAAAAAACTCAATAAATTTCCGCCGGAGTTTACAGCTGGTGGAGGCAAAAACAAAAAAAACAAAAAAAAAAAGCCATTAATAATGCAACGTTTATTATTAGTGTGCAGTTAGACAAGTTAAACAAGGCTTGACCGCTTTGAAACCCCTGCCCTAGAAAATTAATGGGACCCCCAAACTGCTCAAGCTGTTTCATAGCTTAATAACAACAATTACTATTATTATTATTATTATTAAAAATATTTTTTTAATTATTGTGTTCTAAACGAAAAAAAAAATCATTGACGGAAGCGGGGTGGGGGTGTTCAGCCTTTTACAACTACTGGGGGGGGGGGGGGGTCAATGTACCTGAGCCTGTTTCAGGCGCTTATGGATGTTAGGATGGTAAAGTGCATGCCTTGACTATATGTACAAGGTGCAAAGATACACAACACATTGGTTGGTATACACGAGTAACAGCTTGTTAGATACGGTGCCTGGTTTTAGTATTGAACGATTTAAGCGGGTTCAAGGCAAAGCCATACCGCGC